AAGAAAAGAAAAGAGAAAGAGTCAACAATGTTTTTATTGAATATAATTTATGCATTAGGAAGAAGATAGATTTGGGTATATATATATGTATATATATAAATATATATATATAGCGATATAGAAGTGCGGTGCAAACATTTACTCAGATCAGAATGCATATGTAAGTATTTGATTGAAATATAGAAAAAAACGTAATAATAATAACATTATGATTAAAATGAATATTTCATCTTCCAAAAAGAAAAACAAAAATCACCAAGTTTTGCTTTCTTACTATAATTTCGTATGAATTTAATAATTAACGAAAAAACATTTTTTACAATTTTCAACAGAACGCAAAAGAAAATTTCATTTATCATTGAATCATTTTTCAAGAAAAAATATTAACACTTCACTTTTCATATTCTACCTTTACATTAAAAAACTTGGTTTAATGATCGACGCATATATACATATAAATAACGAAAACAAGGAAAAAAAACCGATCAGCTGTTCTTTTAATTTTTGTTTTTTTTGTTTTAATCTAATAATCAATCATCGCGCGTCGATCATGATTTTAATTTCTTTATTTTAGAATGTCAAATAATCTTAATTCTGAATTAAATCAACTACAATTACAATTAGTAGCTATTCAAGAACAACAACGTTTACAAAAATTTATGATTAAACAATTTCAACAACAATTACAATCTTATCAACAAAAACAAGATGGTAAAAAAAAAAAAAAAGTTCATTTCTTTTTTGTTTTAGTTTATTTGATTGAATATTCATTTTAAAGTAATACCATCGGATGAAGAAGATTATAATTCACCACTTGATTTATCATCAACATCAGCTAAATCTGATGAAGAACAATCAACATCATTAATAGAATTTCAAATGGAATCACATGAAGGTGAACCAGAAAATCCACATATGTCTAAAGTTTGTTTCGTTTTCTTTAATTATCGAACTAAATAATTATTGAAACAAATATATATATATTTAGCTTAAAGATATGATCGAAAAACTTGAACGTACAACAAATAAAAATGATTCAAGTGAATGTGTAGTTTGTAAACGTATATTATCATGTCAAAGTGCACTTAAAATGCATTATCGTACACATACAGGGGAACGTCCATTTCGATGTCGAATATGCTCACGAGCATTTTCAACAAAAGGAAATCTTAAAACACATATGAATATTCATCGTTTAAATGATAATGATAATAATAATAATAATTCATTAGCAGAAGATAATTTAACAATGATTGATTCTGATGATGAATCACAGGTTTTAAAAAAGTTTATTTCTTTATTAATTTAAGAAAAATATAAATTTTTTTTTATTTCTAGAATAATGAAAATGACGATCAACAAATTGTTAATATACCATCATTTTCATTATTTAATCCACAATTTTTTCCATTTTTAGCTGCAGCAGCAGCATTTAATCAAAAGAAAAATTTGGATTCATTAATATATGATGAAAAAAAAGATAATGAATTAATTCATGATGATATTAATCAATCACGACGTTCATTATCAACTTCACAACATATTTGTAATGTTTGTTCAAAATGTTTTTCATCAGCTTCAGCGTTACAAATTCATAATCGAACACATACTGGTGAAAAACCATATAAATGTGAAGTAAGATAAAGATTTCAAATCATAAATAAACAATATTGTTTTTTTTTATCTAATAAATTTATTTAATAGATGTGTGGTCGAGCATTTACAACAAAAGGAAATTTAAAAGTTCATGCTAGTACACATATCTATCGTACAAATTCAACAATGATTAATAATGAAGGAAAAATACGTCAACAACAACGACGTTATGATTATCATCCATATTCTACAATTAAAAGTCAATCTTGAGAGAATAAAATATTTCATATTGGTCTTTCATAGCGTATTCAGTGGGTACCAAAATGATTGAATAAGATTTGTTTTCAATGTTTCTCCGTTGGTTTCAAGGAGATAGCCCTATCTTCCTTTGGACTAATTCTGGTTCTTCGCGGTAGTACAGACAGTCGGACTCAAATTCTTGCTATGAATAGATTATCGAAAATAACGGGATATATGTTCGATGGAAAAGTTTTAATAGCAAATCTTCAAAACGTATTACGCCTGCTTACAAGTTGGGTCTAGGTATCATCAGAAAAAAAGTATAAGGCCATTCTCGATAATCTTGTTATGATAAAGACTCGAGCCTGATCGGTTGTATTATAGCGAAGAACCAGAAATGATCCAAGAGAGAGAGAGAGAGAGAGGGGTATTCTTAAGTGCTAGATGAAACCTAAATAATAATTCGAGTAGAGGAAATTATTTCCAACAAGAATATAACGAAATAAAAACTATTGTCAAACTCCTACAGACAAAGTATCTAGAAAACTCAAAACCTTAGGTTTTCAGTATCGAGAATGTATAAATATACTTTTGTTTAGACTACTTAGAATCATAGAGCGAACAATTCTCTACGACGCTTTTTAATTGACTGGAGAACACACTCAACTGTTGAAGATCGTTCAACTTCATATTATGATTACGAATCGGTGTCAATTAGACAAAGACAAGCTTACAAGGATTCGAATCCATGGTCTACTGGTAGAAGCTTTCATGAAATTTTTACTGATAGCAAGACACTGTCGAACAATCCAAAACAAAGAATTTCAACCTAAAGTTTGGCCTATAAGCATTTTCGATAGCCATTAGATTAGTCTGAAAGTTTCAATGAAAGCAAACATGTCTTTTTCAAGATATTCAATTTCAAAAAAGTAGCGGTTTATTATAGGAAGAACACAAGAATTGAGTCTACTTCGAAATCAAATATCTGAAGAAAAACATGTTTCGTTTTTGTTGAAACTTTCATGAAAATCTAATGGCTATCAAATATATCTACAGGTCAAATTTCAGGTCGAAATTCGTTGTTTTGAATTTTTCAACCATACCTAGCTCTCAATATAAAAGTTCATTAAAACAACCATCAATAAGCCATGAACCCCAAATCTTGTTTGAGTCTACCTTAGCGTCATCAAGACCTGTTCGTAGTCATAATATGAAGTCGAATGACGTCCGCAAGCTGAATACGTTCCCTTGTAAAATATAGCAATATTATGTAAACTCCTAAAGTCGTTGTTTTTTTTTTTTACTATTTCCTATAGAACCCCATTTTTAAACCTTCACTAAAATTATTGTATCTCAACCAAAACATGTTGTCGAGAACTCGGTGATATCTCATTTTGCATTCTAAGTAGTCTAAATAAAATTACATTGACGCGCTGTAAATTCTCTACTCGAATCGCTATTTAGATTGTTTCAAACATTCAAATCAACGAAAAAAAAATTGAAAAAAAATTTTGTTGAATCATTTTGCTATTCACTGTATAATTTTATTAAATAACTATGTTATACAATGATGAGAATGCATTCCTATTCATGTTTGTTTATTTTTCACTCAGGCTTTTTCTGTTTTTGCATGTGTACAGGAGTTAAATTTTTTTGTTTTTTTCATCTAATCGTGAAAGAAATGGCATAGTTGTTACTGTTGATATGTTTTTTTTTTTGGTTAGTATCGGATTAATAGGATTACAAAAACAAAATGTTTTGCTGATAAATCAATAATCTTTTTTTTTTATTATGGTGATTTTTCTATTGATAAGAAAATATTACATTAGAATTGATTAATTGTGTTTCTTTTGAAACTAGAAACAATCAGTGATAACTCCGTGTAGGCTAGTAAAAAATATTAGATATTATAAATTCTCGTTCTATTCGGTAACTAACTTAGAGTCGATCATAAAATAGAGCATATCTTTTCAATTTCATGTATTAGTAACATGTATGTTTGAAAACAATATTGTGAGTGAAATTGTCATTAATGATTTCTTGTGGATCTTGTTTGAAGTAAATTATTAAAAATTCAATCAATAGTAGATTTTATAAGTCATAGAAATAAGTCATTATATTGAATCATTTTACTATGATACGACATCATAATATTATATATCTTCTATAGATAAAATCGGTCCCTTGTCATTTTGACTGTCTTTTTCAATAGACTTACGTATATATTTATTATTACAAAATTTATTACTGTATATTCACTGCTTCTTATCTTATTGTACTGTATTTTTATTTCTTATGAAAACTATTCATATTTGATATACGAGGTATTCACAAATGAAAAACATTAAATATGTTCACAATATTTATTGGACAAAATACACGTTAAATTTTATTTTGAAAATAAAGACAAAATTTTTTTTTTGTTTGAATAAATTTTCAATTTTAGTAAAACTCAATCATTTGTTGTTTATCACCATCACCTAATAGAAAATAAGATAGAGAACTGCGATTTTTACCTTTAAAAAGAAGAGATGAAGACGCATTGAATCGTATTTTAACTATCAGGTGTAAATCAAAACCCGCTGGCGGCAGGTTTACAAAACTACGTAACGATTAGATTTTTTGATTTAGTTATTTAAAAGTCCTGGACACTCTAGTCGAAATTTTCGGTCGACTTTTCAAGCAATTGCTGGCGAAAAAAAAAACAGATTTTTGCTTTTTGTCTCCAACATATTTTTTTATATAATTTCAATAAAAAAAACTTCACAAAACATCTTAGGATAACCTATCATATATGATTCAATGTGACTTTATCTGCTCTTTTTAAAGATGAAAACCACAGATTGCTATCTGGTTTCCCTTCAAAGCTATTGAAAAAATACGCACTTTTCCTTCTAAATAAACATTAAATGATGACAATGAATAACAACAAATGGTATACATACAAAATTTGATAATGACTTTTACTAATGTCAAAAATTTAACACGTATTTGTCGTGGAGTATTGCATGCAATTAAATATAAAACAAAAAAAAAAGCTCATTGATGATTCATGATTACTTAATAAATATATATAATTCCACTATTGGTCAAGATTAATTAAAACCTTCGTTTTTCTATTTAAAATAAGAGAATAATAAGTTTGTATTTGTTAATACCAAGTTCTTCAACAATGCCCAAAAAGGTAAGAATTTCCGCTACAATTGGAATTTTTTCAAGGCTAAAAAATAATATTCTATGTTTTGTTTTATGAATTTCAGATCCTTTAGAATTATTAGTGTAATTTTATAGACATTTGTTCGAAACATTTTAAAACAATCTGCTCATGTCGTTCTTGGGTAATTTTAATAACGAGAAAAACGAATATGTTAGAGCATCATATAAATCATTTTGATATTAAAATTGACTCTCTTGCTTTCTTTTCATAAGAATATAATAAAGCAAATGTTTTGTAACGCTACAGTAAAAGATTTAAATTATTTGAAGTCCATAAAAAATGATATTTATTACTTTTTTGTATCATAAAAAAATCGAATTTTTCAATTGTTCTAGTTGAAAATGTTACTTTTTCTACATTGTTGATAAACTTGATTTTTATGAATAAAAACTTATTTATGGTCTCCAATGTCCAATAGAAAAAAAAATAAATAAATTTTTAATTAAATGTGATAAGTAACTGAATTATATTTATTTAATAAACGTGATCATGACTTTTAGAATATTCTATATAATTTGAATTGATTTTATAAAAATTTCATATAATATTTATTGCTTTTTTTTAATGTTCTATAAAACAATAAACCATTTTATCAATGCATTCTTTTTCTTTTTTTAATCTCTTCTATACTATCAGGATAAACGATGATACAAATACAAAAAACACAATAGCATCACACAGCGACTACAATATAGACACAAATGTGAGAGTAGTAAAAGAGGGAAGACAAGAGGAAAAAAAAAATAAATCATTGCGAATTGACTAAAGCACACGAATAGAAGTTTTTGATTATTAGCTTTTAAATAAAACTAAGATAAGGGTTACACAATAATAGATGTAGGATGAATATCAAAATGAAAAAAAAAAAAGAAATAATAATCTATGATTTTATTTTCAACGAAGCATAACCATTGTTGTTGCCACAATAATAATTGATGAAAGAATCGTCATTATTTGTTGTTGTCGATTGAAATTTGGTGCCTTATTGCAAAGATCCACATTACATGAACAAACATTAGCCTAATATATTTTAAATTAATTAACATTGAATATCAAAATAAGAATGAATAAATAAAAAAAAAAAAACAAATTATTATCTTACATTATTAAATCCAGCAGTTTTATAACAACTTTTTAACGATGCTTTTGAACCACATGCTCGTACAATACTTTTTACTTCATTAACTATTAAAAAAAAAAAAAGATAAACAATAAAATATAGTCTAATTTTGTGTTTTTGTTCTGACTTGTTTGACTTATTGTACGACAATATGGGTCAATAGTTTCATTACATGTTTTTGCAAATGAAGCCAAATTACTTACATCTGTACACTCAGGATTATCATTAGAATTGCATACATAACATTGTAAAGTTGTTATTGATGGAACTAAATAATATATATTTTGACAAAAATCAATAAATGCATTCTTCTAAATCTTTCTATACTTACTCAATGCAACAAGAATAATAAGTGTTAAGTACATTGTTGATTGTTATTAATTTCTACAAATAGGTTTTTGTTTTTTTTTATTAACAAAAAGAAAATAATATCAATGAGAGAAGACTAGAAAGAAAAAAAACGCACTCAGAACAATACAAAGGAATAAAAGAAATATTTGATCTGATCAAATTCCATATGCGCATCAACATGTGCGGGCATTTTTCTTTTTTTTCCTATTGCTCAAGGTCATATTGATTAGTTTTAAGAATATATAATTCATTAATTATATTTAAAATAAATTTAATTTTTAATACAAAGAAAAATCAATTAAATAAATTTTATCTTAAAAAACAAAATATATTTCTTTTTCTCTACTGACATCTATAATTATTTGAAAAATTAATTTTTTTGTTTTTCAAAATAATTATTTTAATATTTTTAATAAAATAAATTTATGTAAGAAAAGAAAAAGAATAGAATTCTTTTTTTTTTATTATCTTGTTTTAATTCTTGAGAGGTTTTCTTCTGCTTCAACAATCTACCATCACTATCTGAGTCATATTAACATCCAGTGGACATATTTATTCTTTTTATTTTAACGAAAAAATAAATATTCAAATATGGCCTTTGGGCATTTTTATATCATATAAAATGCTTATAAATGGGTATCGTCATCAGTCTTTGCTGTCCTTGTTGTCACAAAACAGTAAAGAAATACAAGTACATTGAGAAAAATATTCATTTTTATTTTTCCTAATCAAAAGTTTCTTCTCTTGTTTTTCTTTCCAGCAGCAGTGATTATGGACAAACACGTACTGGTAACAATACAAATTATCCTTACAATGATGCCGATAATTCACCAGCATCATATGATAATAAAATTCATGTTTCGGAAATATATGGAAATCGTAGGTTTTATATACATATGAATGAATTGCAAATATTCGATATGATTCGTGAGAAAAATTGAAAGTAGACTTAAATAATTTTTTAGTAGTATTATCCATCCCTCTATTACAGAAGTAAAGCTTTCTGTATATTCGCCTATAATACAATTTAGATTTTGTGTAAGAAAATCGTGAGAAAGACATGATTTAATAAGGAAATTTTGTGGTAAAAAATGTAATCTCACGTCAATTGAAATACTATATGAAAAATATAATTATATATTTTGTTGGATAATATAAATTTCTTGAAAACAATAAGCAATTGAAAAATCGTCTTTGAGTCGACATGATGTGCATTAGGTAGAAATCCAAATGAGTTCATTATCCTTAGCTTATTGCTGCATAGATACTAAACTTTTACGGTATTTTTCAATTAAATATCATGATAATAGAAAAATTAATTTTCAAATTTCTACTTGAAATTTTCCATAGAAACAAGTTTTAATGAGAATAGATTTTTGTGAATGTTTTAGGTCTTTTGATTTGCATCTATCATAAAATAAGTATATCTAAGTTACCTGTTTATTTTAACGATATACAAAGGACACAGTTACCATCGTTCTATCTTAGGATAGGAATAGCGACGAGATCTAAAATATTCACAATGCAATATTCTTGTTAAAGTTTATCTCTATGCAAAGACTCAAGTCAAAGAATCGAAAAATAGTTTTGCCTGATGTTCCTGAATTCATTGAAAAAATACCGTAAAAGTTCTTTATTTCCGCAGCAATTCTTTTCAGGGTATTCACAGTTCATTTGGGTCAATATAATGCAGATAGCAAAAGCAATTTATCATTTGGAGGACTTCTCTCATAATTTGAACCGAAATTATCAGATATTGATAATTTTATAGCTCCGACTTCACGTTATATTTTGGTAGACGAGCCTAAACTGTGCTTTTTGTTTCAGATAATTTCTATAATCACTAAACTCCACTCATAGACCGCGATTTCTCGTTCTAATAAATGATCTACTTCCTTATTACATTTCTGAAGGGTTAAGTAAAGTAGATAGAATTAAATGATATGATCTAGACAGTTGAATTTACTTGTGGATATAGGACACTCGTAAACATATAAAAAAGTTATTCAAATCGATTAACGGAAACGAAATTTATTAGCTGAATAATCATACGAAAAACTTGCAATTCATACATTTACTTCTCATTGTTTTATATGAAAAAAATTTAACTTTTTTTAAGATACTGATGTTGAACTTGCACCGTCTGATAATCCAACAACATCGACGTATTTTGCATCGATGCTTCGTTAGTTAATCAATAAAAGAAAAAAAATTTTAATTTATTTTTTGTTTTTAAATTTTTATAGAGCAAACAAAAGAATCTACGCAACAACAATCAGCATCTAAAACTCCAAATAATGAAATAACTTTATCAATAAAAGATCAATCATCTCGACCATCATCAAATCCATCAGTATCAATTTCATCAAATCGAACACCATATCAACGTGATCAAATACATATATTACAAAAACATTCAAATTCATGTTCAACTATTTATGTTGATGATTCAACTGTTTCACAACCAAATTGGAAAGCTATGATAAAATGTGTTAGTATTGCTATACATTCACATATTGTACATCGAAAATCAAATAAAACAATGAATATATTCGATGAAAAACTTCATCCATTAACTGTATGTTAATGAAATTAGGTTTTGTTTTTTTTTTCGTAGGAAAAATTTGACGGATTTTTATTATAGAAAGATCCAGTACCTGATGATTATGATCAACAAATACCTGAACAAAAAACAATTTATCGATTTATGAGAATACTTTTTACTGCTGCACAATTAACTGCTGAATGTGCTATTGTTACATTGGTAATTTCTCTTTTCTTTTTTTTTTAAACTAATTTTTTTCCAACCAAAAAAAGAAAGTTTAGAACTCTAGCGAAATTCTATTTTACTGTCTAAGTACATCATTTAGAAGAACATTGAAAACTAAACCAAATAGAATATATTTGTACGATTCAACTGTATAAGCCAAATTCAAATGAGATAAAGCCGAGTAATGCGTTACATAGGAGGCAACTAGGCTTCATTTGAAAGTACACAGTTGAATCGTATTAAAACAACAGTATAAAATTTACTATTATCCATTTTTGAAAAAAAGGCGTTCCGTGAGAATGCATATAACTTTTGAAGGAAAAGTGATGGAGACCTGCGGTTTTCACCATTTGAAAGAGAACATCACGGGACGTAGATATAGATCAAAATNTATTCATAAAAGTACATAGATCGTAAAAAAAATTGTTCGATTTTAGGAATGAAGTCAATGTCAAAGACCGGGACCGGGACCGGGACTGGAAAAAAAATTGACCGGGACCGGGACCGGGACTGAAAAAAAATATTTGACCGGGACCGGGACCGGGACTAAAAAAAGTGATTTTGCAGTTCCCTATCTCCATCACTTTTCCTTCAAAAGTTATATGCATTCTCCCGGAACGCCTTTTTTCAAAAATGGATAATAGTCTATTTACAATGCTACTTAGAATAAATCATTGAGTAATTGCAAACGTTTTGTTTTTTATTTCAGGTTTATCTCGAACGTGTTTTAAGTTATGGTGAACTTGACTTATGTCCATCTAATTGGAAACGACTTGTACTTGGTTAGTTTTAATTTATTTTATATTGGCAAAAAAAGAATTATTTTTTCAGGCGCAGTTATGTTAGCATCAAAAGTATGGGATGATCAAGCAGTATGGAATGTTGATTTTTGTCAAATTCTTCGAGATATAACTGTTAGTGAAATGTAAGTAGTTAAAAAAAAAGACAAGAAAAATAATAATCGAAGTTAAAAATTGATTAGGAATGAATTAGAACGTGAATATGTACAATTACTTCAATTTAATGTTAATGTTGGTTCATCAATATATGCAAAATATTATTTTGATTTACGACAATTAGCTAAAGAGAATAAAATATCATTTCCTGATGAATTATTAACCAAAGAAAAAGCAATTAAACTTGAAGCCTTATCATTAGTTAATAATCGTTTACAACAACCATTATCTACAACAAAAAATCAATCAAATCAATCTCAATTAATATCAAATTCTCATCAAATCTCCTCCCAACAACAGTCATTAGTTCCACTTCTTTCATTACGACGTTCAGCTAGTGTTGAATTTATTCATTCACCACGAAAATCTCTACTTATTATTTCTTAGTACTAGATTTTTATTTGCTCAATTAATGTCTTTTTAAAATATTACATTCCTTGTTGAACAATATCCTTGTCTGTGGTCTTTTCTTTTTTTTCGTAATCCTATCATGTACTTGCTTATTTGTCTTTTCTTTTTGTCAGATCTTTAAGATCGTTTACTATCAATGATTTATATATTTGTCTGTTTTTTTTTCTGCAATAATCTTTTTCTTTTTTTTTTTTTTTTATTTAATATTATTAAAACAGTTCTTTCTTTTCGATTTATTTCCTATGCGTTTATTTAATTGTATGTGTATATATTTATATATATGTTTAGTCGCTTATTGTTGGCTAAGAAAAATTATGACAAAGTTCAGTTTTTTTTTTAAATATTAATTATATTTCATTCTTCAGTTTGTATATGTATATGTAAGAAATAAGAACAAATTAAAGATAATAACATATTATATATCAATAATGCTTTTTTTTTTTTCATTTCAGATTTTAAGAAAATTATCAAGTTCGATTGAAGAATGTCTTTTTTTTTTTTGTTTTGGTAAGATTATGTTCTTTTGTTTCTTGACATTGATAATGTAATATTTATAATGATATTCGAACGTGGAAAGAATTAATAAGTATAAAAATAGATTAGAACGAAATTAGAGAATATCTATTTTATGCTTTTGATAGGAACTACAATAAAAGTTTAAATTGTCTAAAAGAATATAAAATTCTGAACAAAATGAGAGTTCATTGTGTTTTCAATAACTTTCCAATAGTGTGCGATTTTGTATGATAGTGAAATTTGTTCTTAATTTTCTCTTAAAATACTCCTGAGGCAAAAGAGTTCGAAAAAGCTGTATCTTAGTTTAGAATTTTTTTTCCGAGTGTGAGTTTCGAACTGTGCTGAAGTATATACAACGACCACATTGAATATGTCTTTATTGAGAGAGAGAGCATACATACTTTTTTCCAACAGGAAAACTTTTAAAATAAATTTTTTCATGTAGAATAAGACTCCTGAATAGTTAATTAGTTCTATTACATACTGTTGGCGATCTGTATAGAGGGCGCTTCCTATGGGGGAATCCCAATAGTGCATAATACATGCACCATTAGATAGAACAAGTATTCATTTACAGTCTTACTTATATCTCATTTAGTTTAAAAATCTCGTAGTCATCTTTTACATTTCAATGTTTTTGTTGTGATGCTTTCAATTTTGTAAGAGAAAATAGTAAAAAAAACACCCAGTAACCCTTCATGTTGTGCTCTATTAGATGTAACTGACGTTTTGTTATAAAACTTTCCTACATAGTTCAACTATAAAATCCTCATATAGTTACTAGAGAACTTTATTTCCTATTCAAATCACTATTTAAAATGGTTAATATATTAGGTCATTTTTCGATAGATGTCAGAAGTTAAGTGTTTTTTTGTTTTGCTCTTACCTCACAATAACAAGACATACAATTGAATATATATTCAATAGTTTTTACTCAGTAAATTTAATATAAACAAATTTAAAAGAGAAAAAAAGATATTCAAGAAATTCTATTTTTTTTTTTGTTTTTTGTTATATTTTAAAAAAATTATATATAAAATATTCTGAATAAAGGCCATATTTAATACTAGAAAGAAAGAAAGAAAGAAAAAAAAGGAAGAGCAATCAAAAAAATAAAATTTAATCATAGTCAAATAATGCGTTGATAATTAATGAAGATACGTTACAGGTGAATTATAGATTTTTAAATAAGGTGGATCTAATGTACTACCATGTTTAGGTATAATATGTAAACAAGTATCATCACTTCTACATACATTAGGACATGATGATATATTCATTTGTTTTAATGTTGTTGTTGTTGGTATATCCGAATAAAATGAATGTTCATGTTTTGTTTGTTGTTTATTACAACATGATGTTGTATTATGATTTAAGGATTGATAAACTTCACAATCAGGATCTTTACCTGTTGTTTGCATATAATATTTACGAGTTTCAATTTCTGATTTTGGTCGATAGATATAATTGTTTTTACAAGGTGATGATGATGATTGATTTTGTGTATTTAAATGACTACGTTGATGAGCTGTTTCATTCCATTGATAATTTTCATTAGCAGGTGTTTGTGAACGACTTAATGATTCTTGACGATAGGCTGGTAAATGAGCATCACGCCATGGATAATCATTTTGATTTGTTGTACGCCATGGTTCACGTGGTAATGATGATGCTCTTAAAAAACAAGAAATTATAGAAACAAAACAAAAAAAGAAGACTATTTTATTAATCTACCTATGTGATGATGTGCTACGTGGACGTGGTTTTGGTGGATCATAATGTTGTTTATATGGAATACGTTGTTGTTCAACAGTTGTGGTTGTTCTTATTGGTGATGGATGATAATAATCAATTGTTTCTGTTGATTTATCACGTTTTGAAGATGAATTTAAATTTAATTCATGTCGAATACGTTCAATTTTATCATCGATTGTTTCATCTTTATGTAAATAATGTTGTGATCGATCATATTCATCACGACGAGAATATCGTTGTTGATCATGTGTTGGTGGTGAAGGTGATCGTGATCGTGATCGAGATCGAGATTGTCGTTCATGTGATTGTTCTATCCATGGACAACATAATTCACAATAACCAGGACAATGTTTTACTGAACATGTTGAAGGAGGATAATGATGTACAACATGTTGAACTATAAACAATTGAAATTTGTCTCTATTTCATTAAGTTTTCAAGAAAAATACCTTCAGAAATTTGAGATTTTTCAGTATTAGTTTTTTCAATAGGTTTAGTTATAATACCATATGCTGGATAAACTAATGCTGTATTAAGAAGTGGTACTACTGGAGTTATTGTTGTTGTTGGTAACATATAATAACGTGTTGTTGTTGTTTGTATTGGTATTGTTTGAGTTTCTTGAACAATAACTGGTGTAGTTAATGTTGCTGTTGGCATGTATAACATCATTGTCTTTTTATTTCTAATATGAGAAGCTTTTCGTGTAATCGATTATTGTATGTATGAATTTTGTGTTGTTGATGCAACAAGAAAAGAGCCGTTTGTATGTTTGTTCTGTTGCTAAGTTACGAACTTGTCAGACATATATTTCAACGATGAAGATGAAAGGAAAAAGAATCTCATTTTTCTTTTCTTTTTTTTTTCTGTAAAAGAAAACTAAAGAAACAAAAGTTGTGCCTTGCCACATAGACACAAAAAATAATTTCGTTAAAGAAATAAATAATAATCTTGTCGATTACATAGAGTGTCAACAAGTAGTTTGTTGAACACGAATAATCGAAGACAGGAAGAGAAAATAAAATAAAATAAAAAGAAGAAAAAGTCAATAGTACTCTGTTCTTATTATCTTTATTATGGATAGTGAAGACTGAAAGATTAACAACAAAGACAAATAAAAATTTTAATAATAACCTGTTGGCATTTGTGGACATTGATAAATTTTATGTTATGTTCATTTAAGACACAACAGGGATAGTAAAATAAAAATGTCATCATCCTGCTCTTGTTTTCTTCTTAAATTTTATTATAAAAACAAGATTCGTTTATTGTTGACAACATTTTAATATTTCTTTTCTTTTTTTGTTTGTTTGTAGGTATGCACAATAACAATTCAATTAATAATAATCAATGTTGATTTAAGAAGTTCTATGAATAAATTTTTCTTTTCAGATAATTATAAATTTCAAGATCAAATATGGCTGAACGTGGCGGAACTCGAGGTGGCTTTGGTACACGAGGCGGTAAATATACAAAAATTTCAAAAAAAAAAAAAAAACTTTTCATTGTATGTTCTAAAAAAACTTTAGGACGCGGTGGTGAAGGTGGCCGTGGTCGTGGTGAAGGAGGTTAGTTTTAGAAAAAAAATAAAATAAAAGTTCGATTTTTCATAAAAATGTATATAGGTCGTGGTGGTCGTGGTGACGGTCGTGGCGAAAGTATGTTTAAAAATTAAATCTTATTTTGATATTATTTTAATAGAGATTTATTTTCTAGGTCGTGGTCGTGGTCGTGGTCGTCGTGGCCAACGTCAAAAAGAAGATACCAGTAAACAATGGGTACCTGTCACCAAATTAGGTCGATTAGTTAATGATGGCAAAATTCGTTCACTCGAAGAAATCTATCTATTTTCATTACCAATCAAAGTTTGTTTCATCATTTTCGAATTATTTCTTAACATGAAGTTTTTTTTTTTTTTAATTTAATTTTATTTAGGAAGCTGATATAATCGATCGTCTATTGCCTGATCTTAAGGATGAAGTACTCAAAATTATGCCCGTACAGAAACAAACTCGAGCTGGTCAACGTACTCGTTTTAAGGCTATTGTTGTTGTTGGTGATGGTAAAGGACATATTGGTCTTGGTGTTAAATGTTCCAAAGAAGTAGCAACTGCTATTCGTGGTGCTATTATCCTTGCCAAACTTTCCGTTATCCCTGTACGACGAGGTTATTGGGGTAATAAAATTGGTTTACCACATACAGTTCCATGCAAAGTATGAATATTAGATATATATATATAGTAAATGATTTCGTGTATTTTTAGGTCACAGGTTCATGTGGTAGTGTACTTGTACGTTTAATTCCAGCACCTCGTGGAACAAGTCTTGTATGTGCTCCTGTACCAAAGAAACTTCTTCAAATGGCTGGTATCCAAGATTGTTGGACAGCAGCCAAAGGATGTACCGCCACACTTGGCAATTTCGGTATATTATTTCTTATAGATAATTTCATTTTAAATATTTTTTGTTTCTTTTAGCTAAAGCAACATATGCTGCAATGGCAATGACATATTCATATTTAACACCTGATTTATGGAAAGAAACTGTATACACTAAAGCACCATTTCAAGAATACAGTGATCATCTTGCTCATGCACAAAAGAAATTGACCGTTGGCATGGGTGATAAACATTACCAATGAATAAAAAAAAAATATTAGAAAAAGCACCGAAACTAAAATTTTTCGATCGTTTTCATTTGTTTTCAAATGAGCTATGTCTCATATAGCTAATAAAAAACTAATAATAAGAACAGCATGTGTGTTTTTTCTTTTTGTTATTAATACATGAAAATTCAAACGTTGTATTTGATCGAATAAAATAAAAATAAAAGAGAATAAAAGAACGACAAAACACATATATATAAATATATATATATGTATATGTATAGTTATTTTATGCATCATGAAAGAATAGAATGCACATATATCCGCGGACGGATAATGTTATTGCGCCATTCGAATTATTTTCAATTCTAGTAAATGTTATTTGATGTAAACAAATGCCCGGGCCGTTTTCGCCACCCGTTGGTAGGCCCGTTGCACAACCGGATGCGTCAGAGAGATTCGTTCCTGTCGCTAATGAAAAAAAAATGTGACCGTAGTTAGGACGCATTTTCTGAGGCGTCACTGATGACACTCAGTTTTTTTTGAATATTATGTATTATCGATATCTTTATCTGTATGATTATTATTTTTTATCAGAAAGTTTTATACTGAATTTTTATGCAGCAGAAGTTGATAACAAAACAATCTAAATTAGTCATAAGTTTCTGTTTATTCTTTTCGATCGAGTATGATACTAAGATGAAAATTTACTGTTTTGGAAATTTGAACCTATCTCATTATTTGAATTGAAAAACATCAATAATACACTTTTCTTCATGTAGTTATGATAGTATGATGTAACTGGAAAAGATTGTGATATGCTATGTTCATGAATGATTTTTAAGCTTATATTCGAAATTAATGGAGAGAAATGATTATTGTAATTGGTCAAGATGTAATTTTTTGTACTTGATCTTAGTTAGAAAGGTTCATCTCCGGCAAGAATTACCGTTTGAGTTTGTACGTATTTTCTGTTGAAATTTTGTGTTGTTTAAGTCACACCAAATCTGTGACAACTTGGATAGATCAATGAAGGAGAAATACAATTAAGTATCTCATCATCTTTGATACAGACGACTTGGAATAATTTTTAAACAATAGGAAGTTGAAAAAATAATTTATAACCAATTGAGCTTTTATTTTTAGAATACTATGATCAGAATGTCGGGAATAAAAAAACTGAGCTAAGCTTTCAAAAAGTCAAAAGTGCGGATGATCAAGGTATTGAATTTTCGAATTATTCAGCAAGTATTGAATAATAATAGAATCATTTCTGTCAAACGAAAAAAATGCATAAGATTTGTTCATTTTTTTTTTCGATGTTACATTTTCCCTTTATTTTTGATTTGTAAGCATGCATTGAAAACATAATCAGTAACTGATTTACTCTTGTTTTCATTTTATTGATCGTTGGAAAAAAATTCACCTACGTTGTATCTAGTTTTGTTTTGTTTTTATGTATCGTTGTTATCTTATCATTGGAAAGCATTTCATTCTTTACTGGGTGTTGATAAATGAATTAATAGGGTGTGGGTGTGATCTTCTTTTCGTCAACATCCATACCCGCTTCCACTCATTTTAATGACCATATTAGTACATACGGTGTTAAAATAAGCAAAAAATGTCGTCATTTTACGACATCAAATCTTGCTTTTCTCAACATAGAAACCAACTATCAAGAATGTGATCGGACAAAAGTTTATTCTTATCTAGATTTTTGAAAAAAGAAAAAATATAGTTTATAGGTTGAACTTGGTGAGAGTTATTTCAATTTTTCTCTTTTTTGCTTTCAATTCACAATAAATGCATCTTCGTCATACATTTAACAGGAATTTTTAAATGCACACAACACATGACGCAAGCTAGTATCCTGAGCCGTGCTTAAACTGTATAAAAAAAGGTTTACTCAATGTTGATGAAAATAAAAAGATAACCTTCCGAAAAAGAAAAAAAAACACGAAAATCTATTAGAAAATAGGGTAGTAGAATGAAAGTGTCCTCTGAAAGTCTATTAAAACCTGGCTGTTTTGCGAAAACTCACATACGTATATTCTGAGAGAAGAAATTTTTGCTGCATCTTCCTATGATAAAAAGTCAACTTCGATTATTTTTCGAAAAAGAGCTGTTAAGTAACAACATAAAATCTAATAAAATATTTTTCTCTACGAATATTTTCAATGCTTAGACGAAACTTCTTTAATTCGTATCTTGAAAAATCACATTTTATCACTTGTTATCGAGATTTGTTAGAATTACGTATCTGTTTGAACAATTTGAGTGATTGTCTTTATTTAATTGATGGGCGTTTCAATTAACTACAAATATTTTATGTTGATATTTCTTACATTTGTTCTTACAAGTGAATTTTATAATCAACTTAATTCACTATTAAATGAAGATATTCAAAAAACATTTAAAGATTTTAAAGATAAACAAATTATGTATTTTGCTGATTATTTTCCAGAGATAGAATATGGTCAATTTCATATTCATTCATATTTTTATAAACTGGAACATTATAATCGTATAATAAATAATTTTCCAGGTGAAATATTTAAATATGTTAATAAAGCGTCATTATTTGATAAACGCCCTTTTGAACATGAATTTTTTCTTCAAATTACTCAATCATTTTCATTGTTGGAAATTTTGATTGTAGTTAATCAAAAACGAAAAAATAATAAACAGAGTAGAAAATTCAAAAATGAAAATCAAGATTTATCAATCATTAAATATCCTCATCTTAAAGAACTTCATCTTGTCATGGCTCAAAAAGATTATCTTGGACAATTCTTAATTGATACTAAAACGTGTTTATCAAATAATGTTTATCTTCGTACGAATTATTGACAAATGAAAAAACTGACACGCAATTTTACATGATATATAACACGAAGTAATTGTACACAACTGAGTGTCATACCTTTTTATTGATAACTAGAATTTTCTGAACATTTCAAAGACTATTGCCCTCTTACAGAAGTATTATGATTACTATCAAGTTNAAGCTCCTATGTAAAAGCATCTTTTGTCCTAGCGAATATTAGATGGATCGATGGTCCAAACATTGCTCTTTTAAATGGTGAAAATAGCAAATCTATAATATGTTCCTATCAAAAGTTATTCGCAATACAAGAGTGTCGGGTGATTTATGAACCATCCTGTACATTTTGTTTTATTTAAATTAATTATCGCTGATTCCATCTAATTATTGCTCATTCAGTATAAATTAGGGGTGGGAAGTTCCCGTTACGTTCCCGGGTAACGGTAACTTCCCACCCCTAGTATAAATATCGTTCATTCATTATATGTATTGCTCATTCAATATATCTATTGCTAAATTTGACTATTGCTTATTTCAACTATTTTATTGCTCAATTAAATATAAGGCAAAAAAAATTCGTGATAGTGTTATCTATAATTCATAGATAAAAAACGGAACTATATATGAATAATGACTTAGGACGAAATTTAGTGGCACAAATACTATCGTTATCTTTTTTTTTGTTATATTGATGTTTATAATTGTATATAGACACTTGCGGAAATTAATCTTTCTTCGAATCAAATTGGACCTCAAGGAGCACAATATTTACTTCATTACATCTTGTGCAGGTATAGAAATTCATTGAACAGTAACCAGATTTACATTGCTTTAGCTGACAATACTCTATACATACATTATAAGCTCCAGAAAGATGAACAGTGCACATTTGGAAACCATCAGCTGTTGTTAAAATTAGTAGTGTAGCAGCGACAACGAACGTCGCTCGCAAACAGTACATTGTTTAGATAGTAATGTTCGAAAAAATCCTTCTCTGTCGAAAAGGTAAGAAAAGAGAATGAAATACGAACATCGATGAAGACAGCAATGAATACGATAAAAAAGATCAATTACATTAGTGCAAAACGAGACTTTCCCACGATGAAACATGAGCAGAGTGAGTCTGACCTATTGATAGGAATGGTACGATCATCTCTTTACAAAAGAGAAGAGAACCAAACATTGCTAATGTTATAACTTCTAGATCTTTTCATTTTAACGTCGAAAGACCACATTTATACCATTTTCAAAGGTACTGCAACGAATAAAACCTAAATAATTTAAAGATACTTGGAACGAAGAAAACTGAATTGCTTCTAAATTTAATCTCTGAACTCATAAAATATTTCATGATAATAGTCAGTAGAGAAATGAAATACAGTCTTCTCATGTTTGTGCATGGGAATTTTCTAGTTGTGAATAATGCAATTTGATTCTTCGCTGTGACTCATCGTTGGCATCTTCCTACAATTCTACACTTACTCTTCCTTCTCAATCTGTAGATTGGGGCAAATGTTAGCTGTGAGTAACTTTCAAATCACGAATAGCATAAAATGAATTATTATTATTATTCAATTCTTTTTTCTTTTAATGGCCACACTTCTAATCTCAACAATAGTAAATGGCTCGAATGTGACTCTAATTGGAATAGTAAATGCAATTAAAAGATGAATCTGTGCCATAAAAATCATTTCATCAGATTGAATCGGTATATTCACAAAAATATCAGTATTTCCCTGGTTTCTGGTATCATTGTCAGACACATCATGACAGTCAAGTGTTCGTGTCTGACAAGAATTCAATCGAAATAAATGTGTGACGATGCTGAAGCGTCATGAAAGCTTACACGCAGAAGTGCCGATGTATCCTGTTTATTTATTCTTAATCGAAAGAAGCCTAGTGAATCGTATATCATCAATTTTGACGACTCACTAGACTAGGATTGTCTAAGTATCAAACTATACAATCAAAGAATGTGTTATGTTTGCAAAATTTACTAGCATATTTTCTTAGAACAACGTTAAAAAACGAATTATACGAATTTTATCCGTTTTTGACATTGTTGACTAATTCCTTCATAAGTCAAAAGAGATCATGAATTGTTGTTATCAGTATCATTTACTAGAGTGACCGATCAAAGAATTTGTGAAGTCATAGAATAGAAACAGCCCATTAATATAATAGCACTTTGATCAATCATCTGAAAACTTCCGAGCTTCAAAAGGTATCCAAATTCAAGAAGATCTATTCATATAAAGTTGAAGAAGAGAAAGCGTACTGGACACACTGAAATTTCTAAAGAGACATTTTACAAAATCAACTATCATTGAGGAATATTACTATTATCTGAATACAGAAGAAGACAATTTCAATCTCATTGAAACTAATCGACAATTAATTAGGGATATGAATGTTAGCGTACAAATAGCAAAAATTTCGATCCTCCGATGCTTCAGGTCATCTGATAGTTGAAATAGGCAATTACCTAGATGCGGAACATTTCAACATGAAAACACTCTCTTCAGAAAATAATAATAGATCACTTCAAGTTAAGATCACGAATGAATTGGTTAATTTTTGTTAGATCAAAATCGTCATCGCAAAGCTCAACGTTTTACTGTACAAGCAAATAGAATCAAGTAACTGAAGTCAAAGAAAATACAATCGATTGGAATATGAAAATCTTGACTAACAAAGACCTATATTGTCAGTATATGCTTTCAATAAATCAGGAACTAAGGATCAAAAGACTAATGCAATGGATAGAATATCCTGAGACCGGCTAAGTACTACTGAACTCGATAATCTCTGTGAATCCCAGCTATAGAAACGAATATGTCTAAAAATACGTTCTTACGCGTCCCTGTTCTTTACTCCTGATTAATGTCTTTGAATGATGAGTCCTCGTGATACGATATTCTGCATATCATCTATATTCAAGCCAAGTGGGTGAAGTATAGAGAGCAGCATTTATCGTGTGTCTGCAATCCATTTCTTATAATTAGTCTTCAATTATAAGACTAGAACATTTCAATCATACAAAATAAAAGCTATATAGCTGTTTATTTGATTGTAATTTGCAAATAAAAACTAGTGTTATTACTAGTATTTCAGGTAATTATAAGTGCAAACTATGTCTCTCTCTCATGTAATCGTTAACGGCATTATTTCCTTATATCATGCAGTCTCTTTCAAAAACAACAGGAATGAATCAAGACAAAAATACATTTACTTCACTATCTTATTTATCTGCGTCCGTAACTTGTACACGAAAAAATAAATAGTCGTTCACTATATCACATATGAGCCATAGTGTGTTATTTTTCTTATCTTTTAATATACTTCTCAATTTTGCTACAAATGTATTATAACGCCGTTAGACGAATAATATGATGACATAATCTCCTGTTTCATCTTACTTCTTTCTTGTTCTTCCATTTTATAAGCACTTCCCTTTTTCTATATGAAATGTTTCCGTTGACATTTGTGAGTAAACTGTTCATTACTAGCAAAAAGGTTGTAATAAATGAAGCTTTCTTTAGTCGTAATTTTCATATTTCATTATTCGTACACTTATCATACACTAGTAAGAATGAATATTTTTCTCATATTGCTCATAAGGTCAAAAGTATTGATTTTGAGAAGCAAGAGAAAAAAATTCATTCATGCGTCCTTACATTGTCTGTTCAAAAACATTAGAAGTCAACAAGAAATACTTGATTCGGTGGCAAAATAGGCTAGTAATAAATATTTAATGATGAATATACCTTTGTTGTTTCTTCATTTATTATAATTATGAAGAGGGATTATGCTTTGAGAGTATCTACCGAATGAGAGACATAAAGTTTTTATATTTCGAATGCTCACTTGTTTCATCTGGCAAAATAATATGTTGATATTATATGAAAATTCAAAAGCGACTTATTCTTTCCGAATAATCTTCTTTCATAATGATTCATTTGTGACAAGATTTTCAGCTCAATAGATTAAGATTGAGGGTATGAAGATGAGTATGCGTGTGGATGCGCGAGTACGGATGAGAACCAGTGAAAAAGACGAGAACCTTCATCCACATTCATGACAAATGCAAGAGATCACTTGACTTATAATAAGCACAATCAAAGCAGATATTTATTTATGCAGAGAAATTACATCAATTTTTTTCTCAAATCACAAACATGTTTAGTTAATATGAATCATTTAAATGACCAGCTAAGTACGAATGCGTCGTTGGTTTTCCCATTGTTCGAAAGTTTGAGAGAAAAGTCGATAGATGAGTTCACTCAATTCGATCACACTCAATACGCTCAGACCAATCCATCTATATAGAAATGACACAAGTAGACTAACTATTCAACCAAAGATTAACTTTTACTTACAAGCCTGTTTGGCCACCGACAGCAGAAAATGTGTCGATTATAGTCAACTTCGCTTCTTGTTGGTATTTAGTGACATATTGGCTGCCGCATGCTATGCGAACTTTCAAGTAATTTCGATTGAAGTAGTAATTGAAACGTTGTGCAAAATCATTTGGCAACAAGACATTACTTGTATTATTTCCATCGAGTAAAGTTGTCTTCCAATAAGTAATTTCTCCGTCAGACGGAGCTGCTTGTGCACTGAGATGGGCTATGAAATCGGTATGCTGACATTGGGCATTACATTTTGAACACCACCTTGTTTGTATTTGTTCACTGGCATAGAAATCTCTTCTTGATACAAATGAACATGTTGCTTCCTGGTTAGATGGATTGCAGAAATTTGCAGGCACGAGACGACCATCGAATGTGAGTACGCTTCGTGTCAAAAATGGTATTGGAAAGATGCACGAGCATTGTGAAAAGATATACGCCTGTTCACACAATTCAAGACATACCGATTCCGAATAGACAATAACAGTCGATGATGAATCGTTGAAAAAAGTTGCCTCGTAGAGAGCACGCATATCAAGACTTACATCAGACATACATTCAGTATAGGGCGATGAAAGGAAGGTCGTTTCAGTCTTACGATAGGTTATCAAATGCGATAAGCTAGGCTGAAGATTTAGACCATTTTCGTTAGGAAGTGGAAGCTCCTTATTATCATGCAACAAAATCGTGAGCCCGACATCTCCATTTTGCACCGGAAAATACATTTCTCGTGGTATGTAAAATAGCATCGACAAACCTTCTTTCATCACGGAAGTGTTACCGAAATCGTTAAGCGTAAATATTTTCGTTGATGTTTGCCAATTGAATGTAAAGCAATTACCAAATACTGTTGACATAGATGGCGTGAATGTATTCAAACAATCGATTCCATTGTAGGTACACTGAAGCAACAGATCACTCAGTTGAAATCCAACCCACCATAATTCTTCTGTTTTATTTCGATTGATCAAATCGACAATCAGAGAAAGTTCAAGAGAGTTGAGGACACTCTGATTATATGTTGCATTTAATGGATACAGTCGATAAAAGTAAGAGGCCAGTGATGCATTCATCCGATCGTATCGAAATGGATTGGCATTACAGATGGTCACAGCAGGGAATGACATGCTTCGATCAAGACGAATTTCAACATTTGTTTGTGTTGGATAGGCAAAATATTGAAGAATAGCCGCTATGACAAAATAGAGCATAAGACCAAAAGCTGCCGTAAATACGATTATCCAAAATACAAGATTGAAATTGGAATGTGCACGACCCACACTACGAAGCCCATGGGTAGAAGTTGCCAGTAGATAGTCGATAAATATCGATTGACGACGACGTTGTTCGACTTTTTTCGGCTGACTACAGACCACAGTATTGTCGAGCTTTACCATTTGTGTGTGCTACCAAACAAAATTGTTGAAGTAAACTTAACTATGTTTTTCTTTAGTGATAGACAACGTTGATTATGTGAAGTGAATAGCAAATAAAAATTTGAATCGCTTGTTAACATTATTTACACGAGACTCGGAGCAGTGGTGGTCCATTATTTAGTTCATGAAAAAGAACTGAGTAAGTAAGAATAAACTTAAATATGCTTGATTTATACTGAAAAACTCGGCTCATTTTCTATTTGTGTGAATTTTCATATCAGACCTACTAAGTTTTGTATCGAACATAGACCATTCATAGATCTAAAATCGTTCATAATTTGAATATTAATTAAATTGATTCATGCTCAAGCAATGTTGTCAACAAAATACAAAGCGTAGTAAAGATCTCAATCAATTTCATCTTCTATTATATGAATGTTAGATGAAGTGATCAATGCAAATAAATCATAAGTGCATAATTATATTCTACATTTTCGACACTCTTAATCACTGTTTGATTGCTTTTCATTCTCATCATCACCATCTTTTCTTTCCCTAGAATCTGCCTTTACTATTGTATGCTCGATATTAAAGTCCATTGTGCAAATATTTACTTTTTAAGTGTTCTAATGGCTCAGAATTGATTTTTTCTCAAAAAGTCAATACGACGACCGTAAGTTCTTAGATTTGAGATAGTCAATACATAAGTACTATTTCAGATCGATCTGCAAACATTTTTTCCTTGCTGAAATGTTTACGAGATTGTAATCGCTGAGTCTCTTGCATACAAATGATCATATGACAGCCAAAGCTCAGACTATCCGATCCATAATCGTGGATTTAGGCGTTTCTTCTGATATTTCAGTAAGACACATTTTTATGCAAATAATTCAAAACAATACGCATTTCTAGAAAAAAGTTTTTCGATCAACATCATAGCAAAGTTAAAAAGTTGGAGAATAATACGGTATCCGTATGCTACTATATCATTCGCGCATTTCACGTAACAAAAGCCTAGGTAAGGTCTAACCTATTCTGGCAGGTCAGTCCGGATTGGTTTATTGCTGGTATTCTACATAGTATTTTCCTTTGAATTGATGCTAGTCACAGATGGAATTAATACGATATAATAACTAACTGTTGTTAGTGAACAAAAGATTATCGGAAGAAATTGTTATTCTGCCTCATTCAAGGTTGTTTTACTAGACTTTGTTCATTTCAATAGATCTAACTTTGGTTGCTACAATTCTGAAAACATAAAATAAAACGTTCCAAGAGAAAAAGAATATTAAGTTAGAAGTTGTCTTTACATTGATAGCTAATCGTTGTTTCTGGATTCTTTTCCGTTTGTACCTTCTTGATATCCTTTGTTTACTCTTTGAAATGCTTATTTCATCATTTTGTTAACACTTTTTTTTTTTGTATTTAAATCACCTTACTTAGTTTCTCGTAATTGCATTCAAATGTCTCAAGAATGGACGCAGACACAGTGTAAAATTTCTTCTCTTCTTCTATTCAATATCTTCCATATAAGTTTCAATTAATAAAGTAGACTTCCACTTATAAAGCGCATTGAGTTATTCTCTAAGTCATCTATATGAGATCCTTTATTCGTTTTCTTCTAAACTAATTGTTCGTGAGGTTATTTTTAATTAAAAAAAATTACAATTAAAAACATTTTTAAAAAGATCAGTTTTCATTACGAAAGATTCAACTATTTTAGAAACATCGAATGAAGGAACTTATTTTAGTCATATTAATGATTATTTAGATAAATATTTAGCTCGTTAGTTTGATACAATTTTAAAATGAATTTGTTTCAGAAGAAAAAAAGATGTCAATTCGCAATTTATTTAATTAAAAAAATCAAATTTGATTACAAAAAACAAACACAAAAGTGTTTAAATAAAACGAAGAATTCATTTACTTTTTATTTAAATCAACTGTTTTACAATTATAAAGAAGAATTAAAATTCCTTATGTGATAAATATTTAAAAGAAAAAAAAAGGATTTGTTTATTTTGCTGCTGAATTCCAGATAAATATATTTTCATAATTTGGAGAAATATGAAAAAAATAATCATATTTCTCTGAAATAGTAAATTAATCTTTCTCTTGTACGATTAGAGATCCACAGGCACCTAAAAAGTCATCTCACTGCCACTTCTGCTGCTCAAACACACGCACACCCTATCACCGATTCGCCTCAATCTATCAAAAAAGTACTTACAAGGGAACCTTCCCAGGTGCCAGAGCGCTTTTCAGCCGGAGTTTTGCGCATCTTGTAGCCCATAGTGAGCTATGTCTGTGGTAAAAAAAGTTCGTCCCCCTGGCTTGTTTCTGACGAGATATCGAGTTTTTAGTGTCTTTTTTCTATAGCACCCCACTTTTGCAGCAAAGCTATATTTTTGAATTTTGATCTGAAACCTGGCCCACATAAAGGCCNTCTTGTTGCCATTGAATACCTGAGATGTGGTATACTGTTCGCAGCTTTCACAATATTCAAATCTGTTTGACGATCAAACTTACGGGAGAATTTTATTTTCAAATTCATTTTGTGAAAAATCGTATTCAAGATACTTTCAAATATTTGTAGAACAGTGTTCCAGAAGAAAATTCTGTTCATTCCCAATGCCAAAGAAATGTTTCGATAGCTTTGTATCACAGCATAAGTTCTGTAGTCTTCATTTGGCTTAGGAACAAGAAATTGTAATATCCATCAATGACGCAAACAACGCCTGCAGTTCATAGTTCTGAGAGTTCGTTCAGTCGACATCTGGCTTTTTGATGTTTTGAAAACACTAGCCAATGCTTCGTTTGCATCAAACAAAAATGTGGAAAGCTTATTTCGTTATCAGTTTAAACACATCTATCCGAATTCTTAACTCATGAGAACCAGACCTGTAGCCAAAAATATTCTTAGGAGGAAGGCGTGCTGAACACTGTCTAAAAGTGATCCGTTGGGGGACAATAGTGTGCTTGTAGTTCTCCAGGGAATTTATTTTCTGAGAAGGAGAGAGAATGGATCCCTCAGCCATCCTCTTCTCTGAGATCTTCATAAAAACCTAGGAAAGATTTGTCTAATTATGAAAATAAATCTTTAGAGAAATCTCAAACCACTCGCTATTATTTTAATTCTGTGTACAGAGTGAGTTCTATGAGAGCATGATGTGGTCTACAATGAGTCGTCAAATAAAATATTTGGCTCATGATCGTTTCTTCTATGTGCAGGATCCAAAATAATTTGATTCTCTATTGAAAACGATGAACATCATTCCATACACCTGTTCAACGATGCATCGACCATCCATTGACACAGTTATTAGCAGGAGAGAGACAACTTCCCATTTAAACCATTTTCAGACTTGTGTTATTTATTCTACTGTTCATGGAAATAAGTTTCAACAAAAAGGTGATACCTCAAGAGTTCAACTGTGCTTCAATTAAAACACGACAAGTTCTGAGAGAAAGTGCCCGATGATCAGCAAATACTTTCTACTAAACCTTGAGTTTAGCTGCTCTGAGATCATGATTAATCCTTTGTCTTTAGTATTCGAAAAGTTGCTTGTCACTTTTATGTATCGTACATTTTTTGCAAACCTTTCGAAACGGATTAGAGGAACCGAAAAGTCGTTGATCTACAGGACTCTCAGTAAGCCACGAATAGTTCGATTAGTTGTATTGCTTTCACACAACTCAATTTTCAATATTTGGTTTATTATGCTTTTTTTTACTCTAGAGAAAGGAAAAATGTTTTTTTTCTACATCTACTAACCAGTAATAAATTTTGATTGTTTGGATGAATTATCAAACTGTGATACTTCGTAAAAACTCTTGTCTATAGTAAACTTAATCTTTTGCTTGATCAAATGCTCGCGCATCCTATTATAGATGTGCTTTTTTCTCCTAAGAATAATAGGTTAATAGAAAAGCTGAATTGATGTTGACATCCATCAATCTTATAAATCATATGTTAACAGCAAACAAACAGACTATGATGTTTATTGTGACTAACATATGTATGATGCTGTCTTTTTACGTGTTTATCATGCAAAAAAAAGAAATGCAAGAGGATGAAGAAAACGCTGACTCGGGTCAAACAAAGAAAGTCAATAGAGCTGTTTTCTGGCGTACAATGCTTCATCATGATTATTATAACTCATTTTTCTTTTTTCCTTGATGATTTGACATTTTTTTGTACGCGTAAATTACGTGTAAGTGGTAGCTAGACCAATTCGCAGTTGACAAACATAATACGAACTTCAATGATCATCAAAGGCAACTGATAAGAAAAGATTCACAATTTTGTGTATTGAATAGTATCAACAGGTCAGGGAAAAATAATTCTCTATTCCTTGTTGAATTTATCTGTTGTCAAGATCTTGTTTCTATTATTGTCTTAAATAGTAACTATATTTCTTGATAAACACAGTTGTTAATGAGTGTTTAAGTACGTAATGAGTAAAGTAAGCTACCATTCTTTGACTTGCTTCACAGACCCTGACTAACTTGTTGGCATGCTTTAGTTTTGTCCTATCATGAGTTGTCATCAATCTAAACAGGATCTATAGATGTAGTTTGATTATTTCTTTTGCTTTCCAGTTTAATCTCACAGTAATCACGCTGAACACTGTTCTATATATTTCTTTAATTTTTCTTATATAGCGTAGACAAAATGGGAAATGGAGCGTACTACAGACGTGCTCCGTCAAGTGATATTCAAGGTATCGCATCGGCGAATGTGTCAGCGTACTCAAATAATAAAACTTATTCATATCGAGACAATTATCTTTATGGTGTATATACTGGAGCTCAATGGCAGTGCGTGGAATTTACTCGGCGCTGGCTGTTACTGCGTAAAAGTTGCACTTTCGCAGAAGTTGATATTGCTTGTAACATTTGAAAAAACCTGTCGTATGTTGAACGTGCCACTGACGGTAAAAGGTTTCGGCTAATTGCCCACCCAAATGGTTCGAAGAAAAAGCCACAAAAAGATTCATTTCTGATCTATCCACGTGGTCGAGGAATGTCCGTTGGGCACATCGCTGTTATTACCAATTTTGATCGAGGCTATGCTTATATTGCTGAACAAAACCATGAATTTCATTATTGGTCTGCTGACTATGCTCGTCGAGCAACACTCATTTTTACAGATGATGGTTATTTTATCGATGACAGTTATACACTTTATGGATAGATGGAAATCGAAGGCAACGATCAGCTACAAACATTGAATGAATCGAGCATTCCACGAATCCTGAGAAAATATCAGACGCTTGACGAATAGAGTGATATTGACTGCATAAAATATTTGATCTTAATAAATAGATTTCAAACATTATATTGTAGCTTTCAAGAAAAACCTTAAGTTTCCTTCACAAAAAATGACCTTTAATATCTGCGGCAATTATTGATTCGAACAATAGAGCGTCCAAATACTTTAATTCACCAGAAACTTGATTTTTCAGTTTTTTCCAACAGAAACGTGTTTGAAACAAAGCTTTAGCTAGACATACGGTATATTGACTAAATCTACCAATAAGCAATGTGCTGTTCGGTGATTTGAAAGAATTCTCGCAGTTAAAATACTTTTTTATACACTGACAAAAATTCCAGATAGAAAACTATCACGACTGCTGTTATGATATTCGGAATATAAGATTTCATCAATTTCACTGCAAGTTAAATTATAAGAATTTCTCGATTAAAATCAGAGATACTTTATTTTCTTTTTTAAATCAAAGACAAGTAGACATTTATTAACACTTTATCAAAGCACACCAAAATATCATGGGTTCTGTGTTGGCTTCTTATTGAATGTCAATAGTGAAATTATCATAAAACTTCATAGGTCGTAAACTCTCATTGGCCATAAATTCTATTGGTATTCAGGCTTGAAAATCATGACCTTTTAATCTATCTTTACTAGAACGAAATCTTTCTTCATAGTACAGATATAGAGTTTCTTGTAATGATATTGGTAAAGTAGCTATATTCAACTGTTGAACAGGAACTGTAAAATTTGTACCAAAATAATCATTGATTGAACATGGATTTATCGTCATATGGGCTACATGATCAGGAGGAACTGTTTCTTCAGCACAATAATTTAACTGATCGATACAAGTCCAATTACCGAGAATTTCCATAGAGAAAATGTTCGTGCATCTGAACCCCATTGACAAAAATAATAGTCAAATGATAACATCGTATAGTAAATTCTTTTTCGTTTAAACATTCCACCTCCATCATACCAAGGAAAATTTTGTTTTTCGAAAATAACAGAAAATTATCCAGTGCTTGTTATTCAATCGGGTGAAAGTTTTCAATGACATATATCAAAGGTGCATCGGGTGTATTATACCGAACATAAGCAGTATTATCATCATCAACAAATAGATTAGTAGTATCACTAATTACTTTTCTTCCTTGCATTTCCAATGGCGGAACATTCACGAAAGGGCCGAAGGGTATTGAAGAGACAGCAAGAGCAACCATGGAATTTTGAAATACATATCTACTCGACCAATATATCATAGAATATTGTTCCGTACGACGATTATAACCAACATTTAGCATCAAAGGCCAGTAGTTCTTTTCGTTCATGACAAAATATCATTTTATTGATTACGACTCTAACGAATACAAGATGGATGAATTACTGTCGATATTGCTTAAACAATTCGTAATAATAAATAGAACAGGTTGATTGGAGAGACTGCATTGAAGAAGAAAAACAAAGCATAAAACAACACTATACAGTTGTTGGAATCAAACTCCAAAGCTACGAATTTTACTTATGAATTGAAGTATATAAAAGTACAGTTGAGCAATTTCATTCCTCATTCGTTGCACTGTTCCAGTGTGTTCTAAACCTATTGTATAACTCATAAAGCTTAAAACGTTGCATTTTAGAAACAGCACATATTATGTAAGTGAAACACTTGTAATGGAGAGAAATATAAGCTTCAATGTCGAAAGGATGAAACCAGTAAAGATCAGCATCTATTTTGGGTGTGGGTGTGGGGTTGGATGTAGGTGTGGGTAGGGTGTGTGGGTCTGGCTGTGGGTGTAGTTTTACTGTCCATTCACACTCATCCTCACCCTGAAAGATCCTATTTTCGCCGAATCCAGTATCTCAGTTTTGACCAAGTTTTCGGCTGCAACATGATGAGCCTGGATAGTTCTACCATTATTGATTGGGAACTTGACTAAATCCAATAAAACTATTCCAGAAGTTGTTGAAATTTGCAAAAAAACCATGAAGTTTTGGTCTGTTTCGAACAATTTTAACATATTTTTTATCGTACATGATCAAGTATGGCAATGCTCACTGATATCATAGCATAAACTGACCACCTCTAACGTGGAAACTTGACCGAAGGCGTAGCACTCTATTTGCCGAAACATGGCATCTTTAACAGAAAATTTTTGGAATCAGTGCATCTTTACTATTGACCAAATGATCACAAAGAGTGTTTTCACTCCTGAATGTTCGTTTTTTATGGCCTTTGTTGTCTAAGTTCACCCTGTGAACTCCACATACCAAAAACTCTGAAAAAAAATTTCAAACGGGTGCTAGTGTGAGTCTTCTCTTCACACGCACGCTCACACCATCACCCATATTCACACCCGTCCCGAACGAAAGAACCATATTATTTTAGCTGGAAAAAAATTATAGTTAAAGTTAGATTAGAAAGGCTAATTGTTTGCGATGTAGCTGTCGATAGAAGTGGAAAAGCAGGTGGTAGTGGCTTGACTGAAAAGAGCTCATTTCGTACTTCATCAGCTTGGATAAAAAATTTTTATCGTTGTTTTCTTCTATTTTTCGAGAAATATGAACAACAAGAGTCAAAGAAGACACAGAAGAGCATGTATGTTCCAAAATAGGGTGTGGATGTGGGTGGGCTGTGAGTCTAAGAAGAGTAACTCCTACACCCACATCCACACCCTATTGATTTGAATCGAAACGAGGTATTTGTCAAGTCAAAGTGAATTCATACCTATTCAATAGATTGAACTGATGTGCCTAAATCTAAAAAGTGAAATGTTGGAACAACTCGTGCTTTATTCCTTCGTTGACGACATTAAGTATCTAAAACAAGATTGTCTGGAACTTGTTTTATGACAGCATTAAAGGCAACTAAAACTATTAGATTCAATCATTTTTGTCTAGAATGGTATATATATCTAATCATTTATAGATAAAAAGGAAAGAAATTTTTTCATTCAACTATCTTTGTTTTTGTCTTTTCCTTTTCATCATTAAAAAATAGTAAAACCTTGGCTTCTGTATTAGAATCATGAGATAATTCATATTTGGGTTTCTGTGTCGAATACAAAGTCTTTTTTTTACACCATCGGCAAGTAATCTTGCTCATGCTGTTTGAATGAGAAAGATCAATAGAAAACAAACGATAAATGATACTCACAATACAGTAGTTGTTATGGGGTCCATGCAGACCTATAGCATCATTTTTCTCCTTTTGATCTTAACCTGATTTCTCATACGGATATTATCGATCAATTTAAGACTAGAGATTAGATGAGAGGACTAGTCTGACATAGAAAACCTTCACGTAGTAATACATGAAAACCTATGAAGTGGGTTCACTTGGGCCCCAAAAAAACAACGAAGCTTTATCACAATAAGATAGATTATTAACTTTAACTTCGTTTAGTATATTGATTATTCAAAAGGAAAGATGAAGAAATTAACAAATGTGTCTTACGCAAGATCTATCGTACATGTATAAATGTTCTTTCCATTTGTCGTGGTGGTTTTTTCGGAGAATCGAGTTGCTGAAAGTATTTTTAATAAAAATAATCAAAACAATTGTGAATTTGAATGATTAAATTAGGGGTGGTCCTTTTATCTTAATTTAATATTAAGCGTTAAGTTTTCACTTAACACTTAATATTAAAAAAAAAAGTTTTCCTGTCATCACTTAATTACTTAATATTAGGTGTTAAGTAAAAACTTAATTCTTAAAATTAAGTGTTAAGTGAGAACTTAATTCTTAAAATTAAGTGTTAAGTGAAAACTTAATTCTTAATATTAAGTNCAAAATCTTAGGTTGAAATACCGCCATTCGATTTTTGGGTATATACCATGCTATAGGCTAAAATTCCTGTAAAATGCCTATAATTCTGGACAGAAGGCCTATGGGCATTTATCCTTTTGCGGTTTTTCACACCTCAATCGGATCTACTTTATGAACAGAGTCTGATCCCAAAAGCGATTTGACAGTTGGGCAGGTCCCCTCGTCAGTCAATAAAAAAAACATTTTTTTGTTGAGCTTAATAATTTTGTTTTTTTTCATACTATATAGTCTTCATTCTTTTATTCATTTGAATTTATTTTTCTCATGAAATAGAATATCCTTTAAAAACTTGGTTTCTAACAAAGTATTTATGTAAAAAAAATATAAATATTTAAGCGTCTCACAATATTTTTATTTGAAATTGATATTGAATAAATAATTAATTATTTATTCATAATAAATACATTATGGGCTCTGTTCAAAAATTGATCAAACGTCTTTTTCTGTATGAAATTATAACTTATCGTATAACTGACTTAAATAATCAATTATTGAAGGAAAACAATAATTCACTAACAAATAATAAATTCGTATGTCTTTTTTTTACAATCTCGGTATTTGTCCAGTTTAATCACAGCTTCCACTGATTGATGTAATTTTACACACACAGCAATGCGTGAGGGTAGTGTTTCCAGTGGAAATCAAAAACAAAATGTACGTGTACACTTTGCTAATATACTCAAAGTATACATTTACAGTTTGTTTTTGGTACCAAGATGTACAAAGTGTACTAAAAACTAATGTTTTTTCAATATAAGAAACAAAAGACAACGTTTTTAATGATGAGCATAAATTAATAGTTGGTAAACAAACGAATGAAAAACAAGCGCACTTTCCCAGAATCTGACAGTTCATTTACGAAGAAAAAATTAAGAATATATATATGTATTATTTTTTAAATTCACAACAGTCGAATTCTTTAATATATCACCAATTTTTCTAATTGACAATAATGAATCAATCTGTAAATGGCGCGTTTCTCTTTTATTTCATAACATAACTACTGATATCAATATCAATATATCTCTTGATCAAATAATGTTATCAGAGATCTAAAATAAAATTGTTACACCTGTTCAACTAACAACTATTAAACGAAATTCGTAAGTTATATGAATTATAGTTCGAATAAATCGATGATCACAATATAGGATTAAGAAATGAGTTGTATAATGCTATAGTAATACCATTTATTGAAATTAAGAGTTTCCTAAAGCTTACGATTTAACACACTTCTTACGAAATCATTTTAGAAATATTAGGAATGAGAAATGGACTATTGAGCACAAATAAAAAAAACTAGAATTTTTTTAAATAAATTCTCACGAACGTTTGACATGCGAAATAAACCTTTGACATAGAAAGTAGATTTTTTCAATTAGTAAAAGTAATTACGAACTATAGTTAGATTTTACTCAATTTTCGCGAACGTTTGAGATGAAAAGTAAACCTTTGAGCTAAAGAATAGAATTTTTTCCTTTCAATTGATGAATTTGTTTACGAACTATAGTTAGATTTAAATGCATTTTCATGAACCTTTGAGATGAAAAATAAACCTTTGAGCTGGAAAATAGATTTTTTTCTCTCCAATTAGCAAAATTAATTACGAACTATAGTTAGATTCAAATGCATTTTTACGAACCTTTGACATGAGAAATAAACTTTTGACATAGAGAATAGAATTTTTTCTTTTCATTTGATGAATTTAACTACGAACTATAGTTAGATTCCAATCTATTTTCACGAACCTTTGAGATGAGAAATAAACCTTTGACATAGAAAATTAAAAAAAATCTATTGTGATCATTGGATTTATCTAACTTAATCATATAATTTACTTAAAAGAAAAATAAAGAGAAAAAAATGTATTTGTAAATAAATGTTTACAACGGCAGTAAATCATACGGCAATAAATCCTGTAATCATCAGTATTCTCTTAGAGAAAATTAATTGAACGAGAGAAATAAAAAATTTAACTAATGAGAGAGCATCGAAATGTAACATTGAGATAAATATTGAAATAAACAAGAAGAAAAATTATAGATTTATACAACAGAGAAATATTTGAAATTTTTAATGAGATAAGATCATTTCATTCGATATCGTCGAATATCTTCAAGAATGGAAGGAAACATATTTTTGTGAGTAGTGCGATACCAATATTCTGTTAAATGCGATTCCAATAATGTCGATCCTCGCATTGTTCTTAAAATTTTTGTTTTTGTGTGAGACCATAATGATTCGATCAGTTGTGTATGACATCCAGTGTTCGGATCGATAAAATTTTGACTATGATTAACAGTTTGGTGATCATAACCATATCCTGTTTGAAGACGAGAATAAGCCTTCCATTCATCTGACCAGATCGTTGTACCAGGATAAACATGTTTCCAGATTATAGGTATAAGTGTAGCAGCATCCCTTCTTTGTACGTGAAAAAATCTAACTTCATGACCTTCTTCTGTTGGTTCAGCGATACCGAATATCCAGGGACCTAAGATATAATCTTGTAGCTTTAAAAAATTTATGACATTTCGATAATCTTACCTTCGATCCTTCTTCCATAATTTCTGTTTCTTTGTGGAGTAATATCATCATCATCAGATTCATTGCTTGAGCTTGAGGTACCATCTGATGCAGGATCATTATTATTATTATTATTTACATTATTGTTATTATTATTATTATTATTATTTACAATATTTGCATTATTATTTCTGTTACCAAGAAGTAGTCGACCACGATTATATTTTCGCTTACCCCGAAATAAAGATTCATCAATTTGAACGACTTTTCCAATACCACCCATTTGCGGAGCATCACGGAAAGCTTCTTGGCATACCTGACAAGAATCACTAATGTCAATAGATTTAGAAAGGTTATCAGAAACTTACTTCACGTAAGAAGTTCAACCAATCGACTAAAGAAGGCTTTGAAACGTCAACTAAACTAGCAATTGTCGATGCGAGTGTTCCTTGACATCATAACCGTATTATTTCAAATATTGTTGATATATCAAGTTTACAATTCGGTCTTCCTAATAGATCAGTATATGAAAAAAATGTGTCTTTTCGAACACTTAATTGATTTCGACAGTATCGATTGATGCAGCGTAATATTGGATAATTTTTAATTGTACCATCTTTCAGTTTTTTCTTTCGACAACTGTCAATCATTAAAGATCCGCAGTGACAAGTACGTTGATTAGCACGTTTTATCAAATTTTGTTCACGCAAAAATGTTGATAATAAATCTTCATCATTTAGAATTTTGTAAAACTGTCGATTGTTAGTTGGTATAGGAATTGCCATTATTATGATTATGATTATTTTCTGAGATATCATCTTTTTATAGAAAACAACTTACTTACCTTGATTAGTACACTGATTGATTTTGTAATTTATAGTTATTGATTTGATTTCGATGCTCTCTCATTAATTAAATTTTTTATTTCTCTCGTTCAATTAATTTTCTCTAAGAGAATACTCAATCATGAACACATTTATTTTAAAAGTGGAACACTTTTTACATCAAAGGGAGCACCAGCTTAACCAATGCCCTAGATTTTCTCATCACCTAGAAAATAATATGGAAGCAATTCAATACCAACAAACGTGGACAACGTATAAAATCCCAACATCTCATGACAAATCATGGTACAAGAGTATGGGATTTCGTAAAAACAGTTTTTTTTCCCAATAGACTATGCGAGCGAGCTACACACAGTAAAAATGATTGGTTAAAGTTTCAATCCATACACAAGAGTCAAAGAGAAATTTTTAAATGCTCAACTTTCTACATTAACAATTTTATCTATAAATATTTCTTGTTCCCCCCATAATTAATTCATAGTTTTTGATACCGATACATCTGAATGCCTTTCTTAGATGTCGTAACATTTCAACTATAAAAGAAATGAGTCATCTGTAATTTTTCTCATTCAAACATATCTTTAAAATATTCTTAATACATACATCTTATCTGTAACATCTATTCAAATATCGTAGGCTTTTGCTATGGTTATATCTTTTATCTTTTATTATATTACTAACACACTAAATGATAATTATTGTTATAAGAAATTGATTCTTCTCTGATTCTTTTTTTTTCTCTTCTCTCTATTCTTCTTTTTCTCTTGTGAACCTATTGCAAATGGCACAATAAACATTTCGATTTAAAAAAAAAAAAGAATTTTAACTTTTTTTTATATTGTTGCTATTGCACAAAGAAAACATCGTTCTATTCTTGATTATAATATAACTTTTTTCTAGATAATCAAATTCTTCACTCAGTCAATCTATTTTAGATATTTCACATGAAGATTAACACTAATAAAAGCAGATGAAAAAATGACTCATTAGTTCTGGCCTAACCATGGCTATCTGCTGCATGTACAAATAATTCTTGAGCTAGACTACTATTTTGTATACATATTGGTGAGATTTTGACTTTTAGTTAACGCAATATACTTTTATTTTGATCATACGTCAAAATCTATGCATTTTCTACTACATGACGAAATCATGGAAAATAAAGAACTAAAATAAATCACAAGAAGTGTATGCAAATGTCGTACTCAACAGGCAACATGTTGTGATGGAATTACAATCTGCGTTTGCGTTTTTGTCTATTCTTTGATAAGGAATGAATGACGTTGAAACATTGCGCTCTCCGTGAGATGAATCAGTGTGTTCTGTCGCAATTGTGATTCAATTACCTTGAAACATATAAAAGAAACAACTTTGTCACTAGAATATTTTATTGTTTATTGTAGTCATTCATTCACGATGAGCAAAATGCCAGCTAAAAAAGTGACTCCTTCCAAAGGTGCCTCTTCACTACCGAAAAAAACAACTTCGAACACCACCAAAGCACCAGTAAAAGTCAATGCGACCAAGACTACTGATGAGATAGTGGCTGCAGCAGTTGTCAAGCCAGAAACACAGGTTATCAAACAGGTCAAGATGAAGGAAGTTGTTCCAAAGGAGATGGAAAAATTGGAAAACTTGAAAAAATGGCCAATTATTATGGATGAAGTCGGTGAGTAAAATATTCAGTTAATAATTAAACAAAAAGACGAATGCCAGTAAAAAGAATCACTAAAAATATTCGCATCTGGTTTCCACTGTTTTTAAGCCTCCTTTGAAACGAAGGATTGACATTCACCTTCTAAGATCATTTCTTCAAGAAGTTCTTCTAGTCTCTTTGCATATGTCTTCGAACTGTGGAGTTTCGATTTTATGCGATTAAAGAATTCATAAAGACCTATTAAAATATCAAATACCAAATTATTTGTCATGTACAAGATTTGTAGTCCTTGGAATATTGTAATAATTTTTAGCACTTCCAAATATTTCTTTCTTGAGATAATCAATTTATTTAAAAAAAAAGAACATACACTTCACACAGAGGTCAGATCGTTACGTCAATGTATCGGAAATGTTTCAACTCGAAAACCCTGTAAACAACCATCATTAAGACAAAAAGGCATATACTGATATCTGGTGAGATTCTCATATGAGACAACAGTTATTATTTTCATCAGGATAAACCTCTAAACGGTGTTCTTCTTGTTGGTCTGAAAGATCATTTCGTGAGATTGTTAAACATTTACTTTGAAAATTTGTATCACGCGCTGCCTCTTTTCAGTACGTCACGAAGGTTTTTCAGAAAGTTTTAATGATGGCATATTTCATAAACGCTCACTTGCTCGATATCTATCTCTAGAATGTCTCACAAATGCTCTGATTTATCATCTTTTTTTCAATATTCAATTCAGTTTCATCAAAGCTTGATTAGAATGTAATTCCGATTCTACTGTTTGTCATGGTAGCTTACAGATATACTTCAATAATGTAGAAATCTCATTTTTATTTATTCTAGGCAATTTAAAAACTTTCTATCGTATGAATGAACTCGTGATCGAGTTTAATACTCCCCTTACCGTACAACGTGTACAAATTGTACTTCAAAGTGCCTTTTTTGGACTTACTTTCAATCCAGATGGATCAGTTAATGATCATCGCGAATATAGCGTTCCGAACAATGTCAATCGACTAGTATCCATTATCATGGAAGACAATTCCATTGAGAAATGTGTAGAAGAACTACGAAAAGTGTGCAGTCAACTTCATCCAGATCTGTTTGACACAGTTTTTGGAAAAGCCGATGTCAAAGAATCGGGACGAGATGATCTCGATCGTCTCTTTGTCATGACTCAAACACCCGATGAAATACGCAAAGCTGACTATTATCAGTTTGGAGCTAAAAGTCGAAGTGAAGTACCTTTTACATGTGTATGGATTACCCACCTTGCAGAAATACCACCCGCCTATGACAACCTCTTTGGACCGAAATTTAAAGTAAATTACGACTGAGATATTGTTCATGACACGCATATCAATATTTCACATGCTACAGGAGACAACATTTTTGTGATTATCTTAACCTTAGAAATCTTATCTGAAATAAAAATCCGTTTGAAAAAACACATAGTATAACTTAGAAGATAAGATTCTTGAATACTGATATGTAGAGAGCAGTGTATCGTATCACCAATAAAAAGAAAAAAAAAGATGTCAATTACAGGTCGATGAATAAATGCATATTTGAGCTGCATATCTGCTATTGATTTCTAGGCACTTGTCTTTTCAACTAACAAACAGCTCAATTTTGTAGATGTGTCAATTCTTTAATATTGACTGCTTGTTTCGAAATTATCTGTTAATCTAGGCAGTCTTCAATACTACTAGTGCATAATTGTCATATCAAAATATGTTTATTACTGTAACTCGAAGCTAATTTCACAAGTAGCAAAGATAGCGTCAAGTAAAATCACTGGAAAAGATATCATTACCAACAACCTAGTATTCTTGACAAAAAAAGGAAGTATGATATATGAATTAAAAAATATACACATAGAAAACGAGCTCACCACTACGCTGGCCAATAGTAAACATTTGAACTCGGTTATTAGTACAATCGGACACGTACAAATTTCCCGTACTATCGAATGCTAAGTCGGTCGGATGCAAAAATTGATTTGCTCCATTACTTTCTCCATTGCCGTCAGCCATTACACTTGCCTTTTCATTGCCATCAGTTAGAAAACGCATTACTCTATGGTTCTCTGCATCAACTGTATAAACTGCACCAAAATGATCAATTAGAATTCCCATTGGACAACTTAGTTGATCTAGTTGACTACCTTCACCATTACCACCTGCAACAATAATTGCCTCTTTTGAATTAATAAACCATTTGACAAGTCGACGATTTTGAAGATCTGATACATAGACTGTGCCAATCTCATCGATTGCTATGTCATAAGCTAAAGAAGATGAAAAAGAAACTAAGAATGTGCTCGAATAGACGTTGACATACGAGCATCAAGCTGATTGAGTGCACTGCCTTGTCCATTGCCATCAGCGACGATGACTTCTTTACTTGATCCATCTTTAGCATATTTGATCACACATTGTTGATCGCAATGTGAAACATAAAAATGTTCTTGACTAACATCAAAAGCGATACCAGTCAGATATGAATTTGAAGAAAAAAGAGTTTCACCCGATGTAGCCTCTCTTCGCCAACGTATGACACGACAGTCCTCGCCACTAGAACCATCAGTGATAAACAAAGTACCTTCTCGATCAACAATAACACTTGTCGACAGCTTGAGTTGTTCTGGCTGAAATCCAGCCACGATCGTGCCGTCCGAGGCACCCTGTTCCCACTTAATTATGCGACCATTACCGGCGTCAGAAACGAAGAGAACATTGTTTGAATCGATAAACAATCCTGTTGGACAGTAGAGTTGATCGAGAGCATTTCCTTCACCTTTGCCACCAGCAACAGTTTTGCCTTCTTGAGACCATGTCGTAGCTAAAGTGCATTCGGGCATATATTTTGTTTTATTAACAAGCAACATTGTTCGCATTGAGACTACTCTCTGCTGGTACTCCTTTACAACAGCTGAACAACAAATAATCAAATTTTCAGTTTAAATAGATCTCGTCGAATGAGAGTAAAAGTCGTGCTAGACTAAAAATAATCTCATCCTTCGTTCAAGAAAACATATTAATTAGAAGAACGAAAATTCAGAAAAAAACGAAATCTTTTAAAGTTTGCAATCGGCCAAAATGACACCATTTCAAGTAGAAGAAGATAATTAATATCAATCGAAAAATCTTCGAAAATTCATTATTTTTTGTTTTGCTTTTATTGATGCCCAGTTCTTTCTGATAGCTTTTTATTTGATAAAAACAGGGCTCAAAATGACTGACAATCACTTAGTCGTAGAATCACAGAAGGAAAAGAATTCAAAATTTGAATATCGAAAAATACATTTCAAGAAATTTTTTTTTTCTGTTGCATCGTGCACAAAAATTGAAAATACAAAACTTCAATCAATTTACATGACTTTGAACGAGATACAGCTTAAAAAACAGGTATATTATTGAGAATAAATTTCAAGAGCACCTATTCCAACAGAGTAGTATTTAAAGATTGCTAAATTTATGAATCAGTCGTTTATTTAGATGGTCTATCGAATAAGCAAAACCTATTCATTCACAATTTTTCTTATACGTGTCGGTATTATGAGAGAGCCCATAGAGATCTTGTGCCATTATTTAGTTCTTACAATTGATCTTCGACAGTGATTGGCGATATCTGAAGAAAAATAAATTATAAACTATTACAGATGAAAAAGAATGATTTAGTAGACAAATGAATGACGCAAAATGTGATGCATGTATCTCATTATGATGATTCTCCCTGACGATATTCTTTGCATTATTTGCTCTCACGAGAAAAGGAAGTCAATAGACAAAAAATTGATGAATTACAATTTGAAGACTAATGCACTGGCAGCATGTTTTTTCTGTTCTGTTTTTTGTTCAATCCTTTCACTGAATATCTTTGATGTATATGTAACGTTTCGGACGACAAAAAATGTGAATAATGAGATTTTAATAGTTGCATGCTTTTAATACTATGTATGTATTTTTTTTTCTCACACAGCTGATTCATACAACCTGTTATTTCGTTCGACGGAATGACGAAGTAAAATTTGTTGACAAATATTTTCTTTTCAAGGAAGCATAGCTAAATTTTATGGTAGAGTTCTAAAATGAGATGTACATATCTGAAGAGTAATATAACTGAATTAAGAAGCTATTCTCATTTGGTAATCAATGTAGTTATCATCATACTTCGAAACAAAATATTAGTTCTTCGTACAAGCGATCAACAACAAGGAATGTTCAATTTCAATGAATCCAATATTGAAATATACTAGAAAAATTAGATACACCTCTAAAGCAATAACAACTTGAGTCATTACAAATTAATAAATTTTTAAAATACAACTCAGATTAGAATAGATTGATATTGACTATAAGAGAACTCTTGACGCGTAATGCTATCACATCAATCATTATTTTATTCAAAATCAAACGTAAAGTATGCACATCATCGAATCATCAACAACTTATTGTGATTGTGAATACACTAGTCTTTTGATTTTTATCAGAATATTGAAATTAATCTTTATTGATAGATATCACTCTAAGTCATTATGCATGGCGTATCTGCTGGTATAATAGTACTTAATATTAAACATCGATAAATGATTGTCAAAAATTATCCGTGTATGATCTTTACTTATATCAATGTATTTATTTGTTTATTTTGTTTGTCAGATCTACCTTCTTCCTTGGTCAATAATTGCACAGAACATTTTAACTTTAAATGAATGCAACAGAAGATGTAAACAAAAAAAGAAAATAAGTTATATTGCATTTAATGTTTGTTCATCAAGCAAATGAAAATGAAGAAGAAAGAAAGACACACATCGAAATGTTATTAAAGAACTTTATACTGTTTTTCAAGTTGTTCGAGTTAAAAAGTAAGATATCGACTATTTTCACGATATCGTAGGTGCAAGTAATTTCCTTATATAATCATCTTGCAAGCAACCAGAGATGAATTCGTCTTTTGACAATTTTCCATCGCCATTGCTATCCATTTTCGAAAAAATCTGATCTACTTTGATGTAAGGTGAATTGGGGCCTAATTTTTCTTCGCCGAACAGATCATAAATAGCCTAGAACAAGATTATCGGAAACAAGCGAATTTTGTTAAGTAAAAATCATTTTTCATAGAATAAAAACAAAACTTGCTTACATTCATAATCTTTCGCATTTCTTTCTTATCAATGAATCCATTATGATTGATATCTATAAAGAAAAATACGTACAGAAGAAAATGAACATTCACAAAGGATTATCAAAGAAATACGAATCGGTAAACGATGACCATGATAACTTGAGAATGTAGGATGCAGGTATGGATGGAAGTAAAGAGAAGAATAATGTCCACACCAAGGGGGTAAGTGCTGGCACCCAGCACCGAAAAGTGCTGGACAGGTGCTGAGGTGCTGAGCAGGTGCTGAGGTACTGAGTAGGTGCTCAGGTGCTGGAAAAGTGCTGAGTAGGTGCTCAGGTGTTGAGTAGGTGCTGAGTAGGTGCTCAGGTG